GCTTGAGGGAGGGGAAGGATGCTGGGTAGAAGCAATGACCTAGTTTGGAGGGCTTCATCTGGTGTGATCCTAGACTCTACAGGGGATGAGTTGAGGAGGGTGTTGGCGACCCAGAGACTTACTTTTCTACAGGCAGCAGACAAAGAAATCCAGACTGAGGTGACCTGTGGAAAGAACAGCATCTCAGTCACCCTAGGGAGTAACTCATGTTTAGAGGGTCCAGGATGGGTAACAGTTTTTGTGTCTTTGAAAGTTGTGGGAGTAAGATGTTTGAAACCCGTGGTTGCTGGTGGCGTATTTTCAGCAGCAACCACAGCTGGGGAGCAGTGGCCTATGGATTAGTGAGAGAGGCAAAGATGGTCCCAGTGTTGAGGAACAAGGATGTCTATACTGACTGGGCTGCTGACCTGTGTGGTAGTGTCTCTCAGTCTGTGGCCATGCTCAACAACAGGGAGGCTGAAGCCTCAGTCCTAAGACACTAGGAGGTTAAGAGATCCCTAGTGAGACACTTGTATCCTGGGAGTAATTTGGTAGCTATTGTACTTAAGAGCCAGTATGTGGGGCTTACAATTCACAGTTGCCTTGGGAAATGATGGCGCAGCTCCTAAGTTCCAACACGGACTGTGTAGGTTAGAGCCAGAGGCAGCTCTTTGATGTTCCACAAGGAAAAGGCCACTAGGTGGGCTGGGGAAGCTCAAGGCTTTGGAGTTAGGGGTTTTTGTTGTGTGTGGAGGGGAGTATCTTGGAGAACTGAGGCCAGCAGGGCAAGATGATAAAGGGCTTTCCCATGTTTGGTGGGGAGTAGACACTCAATGAGTTGCTGGATTGTATTCTCTGGTCATATTACTGAGGCCTAGCCAGTTATCCTTTAGAGCAGTGGTTCTCAACCTGTGGGTTGCCACCCCCAGGGTTGTCAAATGACCCTTTCACAGGGGTCACCTAACACCATCAGAAAACACAGGTATTTGCATTTCAATTCATAGCAGTAGCAAAGTTAGTTATGGATTAGCAATGCAAATAATTTTATGGTTTGGGGTCACCACAACATGAGGAACTATCTTAAAGGGTCGCAGCATTTGGGAGGTTGGGAACCACTGCTTTAGAGGGTGGAGATTGAGACTGGCTACAGGTGACATTCGGTAGATGGAGGAAGCTGGAGGATCCCTGAGAACATTGTAGGTAGAGAGGCCCCAGTGTTTGGGTTGTGGGACTGATCATGGCTTGGCCTAGAGGATAAAGGGGATCTTCTTCCAAGGACACCTACAGCTTTGACCCTGGGCTGTTGATAGGATGAGCACGGAAGATGTGTGCTGCCTTCGTTGAGTTCTGGGCATTTCTGGGAGGGGCTCAGCAGGATCCTGTGTCGATGGTGCTGGAACTGGGCAGTGGTGGGAAGCTGTGGCCTGTGGCCAGGGAAGTACTCTTGACACAGGAGGCAGTGGGGTATTTTGAAGAAGGGCACTTATGCTCTGGCTGCCCTGATTTCTTGAAGCTTGGTCTGCTTGGGGACATGGATGCTGGGCAGGAAGCCCTAGACGCCCCCACCCCAATTTACTATGGGGGCCAGAGCAAGAAGGCAAGTGTGTATTGTTCTGTGCCTCCCTCAGCTCCCACCTCCTCCCTCCCCGCCTGGCTGAGGCAGCACTTTTTCTTCATTCTTTTATCTGTGGGCAAGTACAGGGCGTTCAGTTTCTCCTGTGCATACAGATCAAGGCAAGAAAGAGGCATGCACCGAGGACCGTTTAAACAATTCTTCCCCAATAAAACAGTCTCTCTCCCTCTCTCTCTCACTCTCTCTCTCTCTCTCCCCACAAACACAAAACAACAACCCCCCCCAAAAAAAATCCCAGAGGGGAAAAATGGTTAAAAAAAACTAACAGGAAACAAGACAGCAGCAGCAGCAATGTCTGTTGAACCTGACACAGCAGGCTTTCTGGATATATCTTCTCATATTTTTTTAGTTGGACCTCAGTGGATGGACACAGGGTGATAAGGGGACCATAGCAGATGACATTCCTCTGCCTTCCGTGGCGCTGTGTGTGTGTGTGTGTGTGTGTGTGTGTGTGTTGCCTCTGGCTTCTTGTGGGCAACACCGGTGGTTGGAGCTGGTTTGGGACAAGGCTATGGAAGACCAGGAGTGTGGGTTTAGCTGTGAGGGTCAGTGGTGCCGGGGACCCACGTGGGTCCTGCTCTCCTGTGCCGCTTCCACATGATGTCCATGTTCAAGGTCTCTGAGATTTGGTGCTGGGGGCTGAGGGTTATTTCTTCAGTCATCTTTAAGATGGCCTGTGGACCATTCCAGAATCCTTTCATAATGCACCTGCAGCACCTGACCCTTTGTGTGCTAGATCCTCAAATGCTGACAGTCTGTGACAGTCTTATTTGATTGTCACAGCAGTGCAGTGAGGACCAGCCAGCCAAGCCTAGGGAAGAAAGGTCATCTGGACTTCTCTGGCTTTTCGAGAGGGTGCCTTAGGGACCCTGTGATAAGCAGGACACACCCCATTATTTTCTTTTTTTAGATAATGTCTTGCTATATAGCCCAGACTAGTTTGAACCTCATGATCTTCCTGTCTTAGCCTTCACAATACTGGAATTACAGGTGTGTGTGGCCATAGTCAGTGTGGGAACTCCAGTTTAATCCCTGTTATGCCTGCTCAACATGGTAGCATTTCAAGATGTGGCTCCACCAATAAGCTTTACCAACACAGCTGCCTTCCCACCCCTTTATTGCAAAAATGAATCTGTTGGGGTGCCCCTTGGGCAGGGGTGCCGGAAAGGGGAATCCCCACTCTTGTTCCAGAGGACGGGTTGGGGCACACAGCAGTGTCATGTCTCACCCGATGCCTCTGAGCACCCTGGCGTCATTACAGCTGACGCAGGTCCTCCGCAGTGCTCGTGTATTTACTGGCTTGTCACAGCATCGGCGGTGGCTGGCAGACTTCCGGTGGCATCACTGCTGACCCTGCCAGCGCGTGCAATCCGCCACATCCTCACCTCTAAATTTAGTTCGCAGGAACCTGGGCGAAAGCAGAAGGGAAGGGGGGAGAGAGAGTCCAGCCAGCCCTGCTTGGCATGTTCCCTGGAGGGTGGGGACCAAGAAAGGGAAGAGGGCAGGAGAGGAGGAGGCAGGAAAGGCCTGCGACCACCTAGTGGTGGCCTCATCCCCTGGCAAAGCTCGAGTCTGGGCCTCGAGCGCCACCTGCCTGCAGTCTAGGAAACCTGTTTTATCCTGACTTGGCTGGTCTGGGTCTGGGAGTGGGGTAGGAGGTGCAGTAGGGGAGGGAGCATTTCTTTCTAGAACCAGGCATCATATGAAGTAAGTTAGGGAGAAGCAGCCTCTTAGCCTGAGCATATTAGGGAAACAAAACAAAACAAAACATAAACCACACTTACTTTGCTAACCCTCCAAGTGTTAGAGAACACTGTCCCAGGGAAAATGGAAATTTCAGATGGTAGTTGGCTTGTCTTGACATGCTGTGTAAACTCCATTCAGATCAAGGTAGATATGTTCCCTCCACTGAGCTCATGCCTGCCCTTCTCATTCATCTCCCCTCTCCCTTAATCTCTGTCCTCAACAGATTGTTTGCTTGCCTCTCCCTGAACTTTATGTAAATGGAGCTATACAGACAGTATGTGCTGCTGGGTGTCTGGCCTCTGGTTCAGTTTCTTGTCTGTCTAGAACACAGCAGCTTGGTTCTGTAGTTGCTGAGTTTCACATGCGACGAGGGTATTGCATTGCTCAGGCATATGTTCTCATTGGCTGGCCTTTGGGTTGTTTCTGAATTTGGTCAGTGGGATAAAGCTATAAATTTCTTGGACATGTCTGTGTGGTGGGATGTGCCCTGCATCTCTGGTGGATTTTTAAAAGTGGATTACTGTGTCTGGGAAAGGTCATGCTTGCTTCATGGGTGTGGGTGACAGGTTTTTATGTGCTTCTTGGTTGTGGCCTAGTAGCTTTCATCTACCTGCATTTATTTCCTTGCTGGGTCTTGGTGCTATTAAATTCTGCAGCATCTGCAACAAAAGCCTTAGCCAACACAACTGAACTCTTTAAGCTGTTTGAGTCAGGGACTCTGAGGGATGGGATATGAGCTGAGTATTTCCTACATGGTGGTTCTCAGATACCTCCAAACCATCCTGCTCCTGGGAATAGAGGAACAGTTTATTCCAGCCTTGAGCCACCCCCGTTCCTTGCATTACCAGCTGCCCAAAGTCTGGCGTCTTTAAGTAAGCTGGCAGAGTATAACTGTCAATTTGATGTCTGGTCTCTGTGCTGTGGGTCATCACAACTCAGTGTTTCCTGGGTTCATTGCTGTTCTGTGGTGACTGAGGGGCTGGGTGGAGGGGAAAAGGACCTACCCAGAATAGCAAGGCTTGTTGGACACCAGCTTTCTGGAGGAGTGGGGAGGTGAAGCCTTTGTCTTTCCCACTGCATTGCCACCTCACCAAGACTCAGAAGGCCAACAGAAAGGCAAGGAGGAGAAAGGCATAAGGGAATAGAGAGTACTAGGACCAGCCAGGTGAGAGGTGGGGACGACGCCCAGTGCTGTATGTGCAAGTCTCCTGTGACGGTGCAAGTGCCCCTCGTGTGTAAGTGTTCTGATAATCTGTGTGAGCTGCCTGGGGCTGGCACAAAGAGCAGCCATGTTGAGTTGAACAAAACATCATAGTCAGTCTCCTGACTTTGGCCTTTTTTTGTCATCTCTTCTCAGATCACCTCTTGTCTCACTTGAGGACCTGTGGACAGGGAATAGGCAGCGCTTAAGAGATTTGAGGGTGGGGTTGATGGATTCTACCTCTTGCCTGTTGATAGGTCCTAAAACACATATCTCCCTGCCTGACTCTCTTCTCTCTTTGCCCCTTCCTTTCTCCCTTTTTTGCATTTTTGGGAGTTGTCTCTTCTTGATCAGGTCTTAAGGGAAGGGGGTGCAGCTGTGTCTGCCCCTGGGGTCAGGTGAGCTGACCCCCACACCCTCTCTTTCTCTCTCTTGTTGCAGGCTCCTAGAAGGTGAGTACGGACGGTATGCAAAGTTGTGAATCCAGTGGCGACAGTGCGGATGACCCTCTCAGTTGTGGCCTACGGAGAAGGGGACAGCCTCGTGTGGTGGTGATCGGTGCTGGCTTGGCTGGCCTGGCTGCAGCTAGAGCACTTCTCGAGCAGGGCTTCACAGATGTTACTGTGCTCGAGGCTTCCAGACACATTGGGGGCCGTGTACAGAGCGTGAGACTTGGTAAGCATCACTCAGGCCTGGCTACCTCTCTAGGTCACCTGTTGTCCCCCAATACCGTGGTCCTGCCTGAAGTCTTACTAATTTGGTCTTGGGACACATGCTGACTTGGTGTAAGACTTAGGGTTGACAGTGTTTTGGGGGAGGACATACCCAGAGTCAAACTAACTGAGAGTTGTGGGGACTCATTTCTAACGTCACGGGGGGGGGGGGCTTGTATAAGTTCTGATTAGTCATTAGTTTTTAGTATGAATTAGACTGAAGTCCAAGCAGCAGGAACTAAGGTTGGTAGAGTGGAATCAGGGTTTAGATGTCCTTGTGGTTGATGTTTGGTTTTGGGATTGTCTGTAAAGAAGATCCAGTTTGCAAATAATGAGGGCCCTGTAGAAAGCAGCCAGATAAGAAACATGCCCCTGGGGTAGGGGGACTTTGCCAGGGCTCTAGAGAGCAAGGGTGTTTCCTGAAATGGAGCTGGTAATCAGGCCTTCCACAGCCATAGCTGTGTGGGGAGTTTTGGCCAGTGGTGGGTTGAGTGGGTTGGGACCATGATGATGACCCAGTGAGACCACATGCAGTGACCTAGAGTATGTGAGTGATGTGGACACTCTAGATTATAGTGTGTGTGTGTGTGTGTGTGTGTGTGTGTGTGTAGAGGCTAGAGGTTGACATTGGGTGTCTCCCTCAATTACTTTCTATCTTATTATTGTTTTTTTGAGATAGGGTTTCTGCTAGGCTGGCTGGCCAGCAAGTCCCAAGGGTCCTCCCATTTCTGGCAATTATGAGTGTGCACTACCTTGTCTGGGTTTTTGCCATCGATTTTGGGGGATCTGACTAAGGTCTTCATGTTTTTATGGCAAGCACTTACCAACTGAACCATCTCCCCAGATTTCTCTTTGGTTTTGAGATAGGGTTTCTTTCTATAGGTTAGGTTGGCCTTGAAACTACAAGTCTCTGCCTCCCAAGTACTGGAATAGCAGGTGTGAGCCACCTCAGTTGCACCTCTAGAGGATTTTCTATTTGTCACAAAGAGCCTGTGTGCTTAGTTGCTTAGATCAGTGGACAGGCTGAGAATCAACAGACATCAAGGATACCCCCTCACCTTTTCTCTTCTTGTAGGGCTATGGAACACATCAAGTGTCTTCCCCTAGATCCATTCCTGGAAGGCACATATGAGGTTTTGTTTCCCCCTTTCACACACAAACTGGTTTGTCTCTTGGCAATAAGAATGAAAGTGCCATCCAAGTGCTCCTAAAGCTGGGGCAGCTAGGGAGCCCTGGCACTTTGCTCACTGTTGATTAGCCTCAGGGAAGAGCAGTCCCATTTATGATTCTTTGGGCCTATTCAGAGTCTGATATGGACACAGAAGATGGGGAGATAGGTGACCCAGTCCTGGAGGCACCTGACATTCCAGGCCATGCAGGGAAAGCATGGGGTGGCAGAAGGCTAGATGGGGAGGCTTGCTGGGCAGGTTGTGTGGAGTGAGGCTTGTGAAGGAGAGAGGGAGAGCATGCTGGCCAGGGCATCTGTGTTGTATGCAGGTAGGCAGGCCCGAGAGCCCAGTGTGTAGATTGACATGCTGTAGCATGGCATAGTGGCCATGAGAGGCTCTGAGGACACCACATGCTCTAAGGTGGGTAGGCATGGGGTGGCGCCTGGTGCCCTTAGGAAGTACAGATGTGGCAGAGATGGAGTGGGTGGGATACCTTGAGCGGTGGCCTCACTCTGCTCCCTCCAGCCCCTGGCAGGCCTACACCTGACCTTGCTCCCACCTCTTCTCACATTTGAGGGACATCTAGAGACAGGAAAGGTGTTGCCTTGCTTCTGACCTGCCCAGTCTCTGAGTGACTTGGAGCACCCCTACTGTGCCAGGGGGAGGGTTCAGTTCCTCCTCGAATGGCTGTTTCCTCTTTACCTCTGAACTACTGGCCAAGTCTCTGGGAAAGGGAGACTTTTGTGTTCAGTTATTTCCACTGCTGAGCCTACCAGGCGCCAACAGTAGCTCTGAACCCATGGTCACACAAGAGAGTCTCGGTTAGTCTCAGTGGGTCACAAAACAAAGTGAATAGTCATGAGTGTGAGGGAGGAGTTTGTGTGGAGGGAAGAGTGGTCGGTACTGCATTGTATACATGTGCAGAGTTGTCTAAAAGCAAATTTAATTAACAACAGTGATAACAATAATATCACTGTTCTTCCTCTGCTCCTTTTGGGAACTTAAGCTAGAACACACACTTTGGGGGCTCCAGAGCCTGAGGCTCTAGAGTTGCCCTCTGGCCAACAGCAGCTCCTGTAGGCAAGGTCCTGGACTTTCTGTTTTTGGTAGCCTTCAGTCTGCCTCCTTTTCCTATACTGGGGGCCTGTGCATGCCTGCCACTTTCAGAGACACTAGACTGTTAGTTATCCTGCTAACTGCAGCATGAGGTTGTTTTTTTTTTTTTTTTCTTGTTTTAGGCACATTCATGTTACAGGGCTATTTTTAGTAACTATGGTTTAATTAGAAACATCCCAAGAAAGGGAAGGCATTCGAATAAGGAGCGTATGCCCAGTTGTTGGGGTGATGGGCAGTGCTGCCATCTTTAGACGATATCAAACAAGCCACCTCAGATAAAACAGCTTAAAATGTCTTTTTATTTGCTCACAATCTGTGGGTTGGAAGTATGGGTCTTTTTCTGTCTTTGCCTTGATTCCTGCATGTCCAGGGCCAGTTGGTTGGGATCTCTAAGATGGCCTCACCCTCTTGTGTGGTAGGGGGTGTAGGCTTTGGTCTGGGCTTATGTTCCTAGCAAGGTGAGCCTGTGTTGTTGTTTGTTTGTTTGTTTGTTTTTCCATAGTTGTCACTTTTAGAGGTTGAGGGTAGAAGCCATGAGACCCTGTGCTGGCTAATTTTATGTCAGTTTGACACAAGGTGGAATCATTTTGGAAGAGGGAACCACAATTTTGAAACTACCTCACCACCCCAAATTGGCCTGTGGGTAAGCCCGTGGTGCATCTTCCTGATTGATGATTGATGTGGAAGGGCCCAGTTCACTGTAGGTGATGCCACTGTGAACTGGTGGTCCTGGGTTTTATAAGAAAGTAGGCTGAGCAAACATGAGGAGCAAGCCAGTAAGCAGCACCCCTCCATGGCCTGTGCATCAGTTCTTGCCTCCAAGTTCCTGCCCAGTGCTGACTTCCCTCAGTGATGGCTGTGAGGTGGAACTGTAGGCTGAAGCACTCCCCCCCCCCACACACACATGCTTTTGGTCATGGTGTTGTATGACAGCAATAGAAAGGCTAACTAAGACAGGCCCCTTGAGGCCTTGGTCCTGAAGCTGTATTTTTTTTTTTTTAAGCTACATTCTGCTAATCAGAACATGTCACAAGTCTAACCCAAATTTAGGAGGTAGACCCTGCCTACCTCTGGGGGGGTGGGATGGGGAGGCATGTATAGTCATTTTATCAAGGGACATGTGCACAAAGGAGGGAGAAATTATTGTGAATTTGACAGGAAATTGACCATAGGGATCTTGAGCCTGGCCTGAGAGAACAAACACCACAAATTGTTTCTCTGTGCTCTTTGCACCATGCTAACTTCTCTGGAAGCTAGGCAGGGAAAGCAGCCTCACAGCTTTGAAAGAATCTAAAGGAGAAATTGAGGTCAGGACAGAGGCAGCTTGCCTCAGATCTGCTGTTTTGGCTGGGGATGAGAGGTGGGATGAATTCCTAGGCCTCTTACATCTTGGATCCAGGTTGCTCCTCAACCCTCCTTGACAGAATCTCAGGGTCTGCCCCACCCCACCCCCACGTGAAAGGATTTTAGGGCTTAACATGGTTTATATTCCTCAACCCTGAGGGAAATGTTGTAAACTGGAGTTGTCCTCTGAATTGAAGTGAGAAGTTCTGGAAGGGGTTTCTTCTGTCTGAGAGAAGGGCGTGGACTCTAGAGCCATGGGGTATTAAGGAGCTAGAATAATGCTGGAAGATAGCCAAGTATTCCTCTTGAGTGGGCGGGACTCAGGGCTCTGGCATGCAGTATTGTCTTGGAAGAAGGTGAGACCAGGAGAAGCTTCTAACTGACGGCATGAGGTGACACTGGGGCACATCCAAGAGTCACTCTGGGCAGTGCTTCTCCCTGCTGATCACCTCATTGCTGTCAGGTAATGTTCCTCTGTAGGCTTTAGCTGTTTCTCAGAGCAGACTCCCAAGCCCCTTCCTGCCCTGACGAGTGTTTGTGGGCAGAGGTCCTCTTAGGAGGGAAGGAAGGGAAGCAGTCCTGTCCCTCTCTGAAGAAACCTGCCTCTCTAAGGGTCTGTTGTCACCACCAGGACACGCCACCTTTGAGCTGGGAGCCACCTGGATCCATGGGTCCCATGGGAATCCTATCTACCATCTAGCAGAAGCTAATGGCCTTTTGGAAGAGACAACAGATGGGGAGCGCAGCGTGGGCCGCATCAGCCACTACTCCAAGAATGGCGTGGCCTGCTACCTTACCAACCGGGGCCGTCGGGTCCCCAAGGACGTGGTTGAGGAATTCAGCGATTTATACAACGAGGTAAAGGGAACATCAGGACAGTTTGGGGATACAATGAAAGTGCTGAGCTAGGCAAGGTAGTGATAGATTTTCTCAAAAAGGCCTTGAATGTCATTTCCTAGACTTTACTAGGTATTTGGGTTGTGACAATTGTCACTATGGTTTTTATGGATACTCAACATTTTTAGAAAGCATTTTCTAGTTGTTCCTGGTATATAGCAATAGAACTAATTTTTGTACATTGATCTCAGTTCCCTGATGATGATTATTTTAATTCAAATAACATAACTATTAGAATAGTACTTAGTATTCTAATAGTATTTTTGCAATTATGTGTAACCAACATTGTTCAGGAGAATTTTTTACACTGATGGAAATGTGTTAGAACTGCACTTTCCAATGTGGTAATTTCTAGCTACTTGTGGCTTTTGAGTAGTTGAAATTTAGCCAGTGAAACTATGTAGGAATTAATATTAAATTCCAAATTACTACAGGTATCTAGTGGTTACTATATTGAGAGTCCAGCCTCAGATATTTATTATTCTTATTGTGTGGGTTAGTATCGCCATCTGATATTAGATAGAAGTAACAATACTGTACATCATTGAAGCATCCCAGCTTTAAAAAAGCATCGGTATTCTTCTTGGTATCTCTCAGTAGTAGTATAAATTGCCCTGGACAAATGAGATAAAGTACAGGTCTTATTTTCTTATTGTAATGTCATGACCCCATTCTAGGTCAGCACTTGGGTCACTAAGCACTTATTGTACATTTGCCAGTCCCTTGCATTGTGGCGGTCCCTGGTCCATGGAGGATGGGCACTCTCTGTTTTGTGTGTATGTGTAAGTTACATGAGTGCAGCTCCATAGTTTATTTTCACCCACATACAAAATGTAGACTTATTAATGATCAGATAGTAACCTGTGTTCTTCAAAGTATCCTTTGCTGGCCTACTCACTGATCCTTGGCTATTGTAAGTGCTTTAAGCATGAGTACTTATGTTTTGATATTTTAGTTTTTTAGATAGGTCTCATACAGCTCAGCCTGGCCTTCAACTTGCTGTGTAGTCCTGATTCTTTTTCTTCTGCCCTCCAAGTATTGGGGGCAGAATGTGTGCCACCATGCCTGGCTCTGTGGATACCTCTGAGAATGATTCTCAATGGTCATGACTTGTCCTGTTGGTCAGTTTCACTTCTGAAAGCCAAGAATGGGGCTGTGAAAAGTAAAATGGATAAGGTGGTTATCAAACTGCAGTGCTGCTTAGGGTCTGAAGGAAGAGGGATAGAACAGGATTCCCTTGTGTGGCATTTAGTCAATGCAGTTGAACTTTCTAAACAAACCTTGTGAAACTGTGCCTAAGGGTGACTTTATCATAGGTGTTTCCAACAATGATGACTCTGAAGGGCCATTCTTATAGGTACATTTAAATGGGGTGTGTGTGTCTGTGTGTGTGTGTGTGTGTGTCTGTGTGTGTGTCTGTGTGTGTGTGTCTGTGTGTGAGTAGGTCAGAGGTCAGTGTGGTTGGGTGTCTTCCTCTATGGCTCTCTACCTTACATTTTGAGACAAAGTCTCAATGAACTTGAAGCTCACTGTTTTCATCTGGAACAGCTGGCAAGTGAATCCCCAGGATCTCCTGACTCTAGCAGGGCTAGGTTTGCAGATGCATGCTGGGAATTCAAACTCAGTTCCTCATGCTGCGTAAGCACTTTGCTCATTGAGCCATCTTAGAATGTCTCAGCTTGAGGTTTTTTTTTTTTTTTTTTTTTCCTGTCTCAGTGCTGGGGATTGAGCCCAGGGTCTTGCCTGTGATAGGCAAGTGCTTTCCCACTGAGCTCTATCCCCAGCCTTAGATGTGGAGTATTGAGCACTTAAGTTATAGAACCGCTCTGACCTGCATTTTTCTCATCTGTAAATGAGTTGTACCTACTTTTCAATATTACAGGGATTGTAATCCCAATGAAAAGTGCTTAAGAATTGGTGTAGGGTCACAAGCCTGTCCCCTATATCCTCCTTTCATGTGTGGGAGGGTTGCCAGGATTCAGGCATTATGCTGGCCTGCCCTGTCATCTGGCAGAAGGCACTCAGGGAGTACCCTGGGTTCTGTTAGTTCTATTAGTCTGTGCGTAGATACAAAGGACCCTTTAAAAAAAAGACCCCGCCCACTTAAAGCTCTTTCCTCTCTCTTTCCTGCTTTCTCTTTCCCTTTCTCTTTTCTGCTGTTCCCCTAGGGCAGATAGGACTTTTTTCTGTCTCCCTCTTGTCTTCTATCCTCTCTCTGTCTCTGTCTCTTTACTTCTTTTCTACCCCCTTTCCCTTTCTAATAAATCTTCTCACTAAGATCTGTCTGCCTGGCATGTTTGTCCCCCACTTCAGTCACCCTCGTTTGCTATGGAATACACCAAGGTCCCCCTCAAAGCTTTATCATAACAAGGTTACTGCACCCACATAATAGACCTATATCCTAGTTGGTGATGGCTACGTTTGTTACTCCTCAGCTGGACTTTATGGTCTCCAGTGACCATGAGCTGAATATCAGTTACCATGTTGCTTATCTTTTAGGGAAAGGCTGAGGGAGGAGAAGGAGAGTCCCCAGTTTGAGTTCTTGGCAGTGATCCTGAAGGAGGAATTTACTAAGGCTCCAGCTACTGCTGGCCTCCCAATGTCTTGTGATTGTAGGCAGGACAAGTGAACAGTTTCACTCAGTTCTTCTCTGTGATTTATGCTGCAGAGACATCCTTATGTGCCTGTCTCGTGTGGAGGCTTTCTCCCGTGGAACAGGGGTGATTGGAGGGTACATTGCCGCTCCTCCACTCTGGTCCCACAGCTTATGCTGGGGCTGCAGTGCAGAGCACACATCTTTCCCAGGAATGCATTCTGGCCAAATCCAGCCTGGCCACAAGGGGTCACAGCTGAGAAGCCCACATTTGCTATAGCCTCAGAAACGAGAGCAGTGGGTGGGGATCCTGCTGCCCTCCTTCTCAGCCCTTCAGGGACCCAGGGTCTTGGCACAGTGTCTAGGCTTTGCTGCCTTGGCGCCTGCCTCCCTTTCCAAGGCCATTTATTTCTTACAATATTCTCCTTGTTGCCTCTTCACCGAGCTAACCCATTTCAGGGTTCTTGACAGCCTCACCCTCCATTTTTGACTGTGCAGTTCCCTCTGCCTGTAACACCCTCATCTCCTCTCATTGCCAGTGTTGTATCTCCTAATGAGTCAGGGTTGCCTGGGTTGACCTTACTACTCCTGGGTTCTTTGCTATCACAGTATCGTGTAGAAATCCCCTTAGAATGTCTCATCAGCTTGAGTATGGGCAGGGCTGGGGACTTTGTTTTGCTTAATACATTGGGTGTGGAGCCCACAAATGCATGTTGAGCGAATGTTAGGGCCTGTCTGGGAGTAGACTTGTTCAGGGTTTGTGGTGGCAGGGTGATGTGTTTCGAAGGTTTATGGGTCAGGCTGTCAGAGAAGACAGAAGGACCCTGTTTCAAGGATTGATGGTCACTGTGGACAAGGTGTGGGTTGGTGTTTTGACTGGAAAATGTCTGCCAAGTGGTTCCTGTTTCTTGGCCTGCTGGGGCCTTGCAGAGATGTTCCCTTCCGTGTTGTCCTCTTCTGTCTTCCTTCTGTGTCCAAATGAAGGGGCTCTTACAGATCTGAGTAGTGCAATGAGCGTGTCTATGGGGGTGAGCTTCCTACAGTTGGTTCTTGGAAAAGGTGAATGTGTGCAGACCAAATTCTCCAGGGGAATATGGGGCCCTTGTAGACATGCTCAGGGTCCATGAAGAGGCAGCTCCTTCCCCAGACTCTGCAGGTCCCAGATGTTTGTGGTTTGTTCTAGGAAGGGTCCCTAAGAAAGCTTTAGGTCCATTGTACCGCTCTTACAGGCTCGGAGGTGAGGAGCTGACTGACTAGGAAAGGTGTCTTGCTCAGTTTCATGCAGAAGCAACCAGGGATGCCTGGGAGTAGGTGGCTTTCTAGGTGGGCCCTGTTTGCTATGGAGGATGGTAAGAGTGCTCACTGTCCAGGGGTCTCTCTGGCAGGTCTATAACTTGACCCAGGAGTTCTTCCGCCATGGTAAACCAGTCAATGCTGAGAGTCAGAACAGCGTCGGGGTGTTCACCCGGGAGAAGGTGCGCAATCGCATCAGGGATGACCCTGATGACACAGAGGCTACCAAGCGCCTGAAGCTCGCCATGATCCAGCAGTACCTGAAGGTATCTTTGTTGTGGAGTGTAGATGCCAGAGTGAAAAAGTTTGGGGGAGTCTGGGTCCAAAGGGCTGTGCTGGTCCGAGCTCTTGTTCCTTGTCTGGCCTAGCCCTGCCATCACCTGGCTTCTCTCTGGGTCTTCCCACAGGTGGAGAGCTGTGAGAGCAGTTCTCACAGTATAGATGAGGTGTCTCTGAGCGCCTTTGGAGAATGGACAGAGATCCCTGGCGCCCATCACATCATCCCCTCAGGCTTTGTGCGAGTTGTGGAGCTGCTGGCTGAGGGCATTCCCCCACATGTCATCCAGCTGGGGAAACCTGTCCGTTGTATCCACTGGGACCAGGCCTCAGCTCGCCCCCGGGGTCCTGAGATCGAACCCTGTGGTGAGGGTGACCACAATCGCAACACTGGGGAGGGTGGCCAGAGTGGAGAGAGTTCCCAGCAGAGAAGGAGGGACGAGGATGAGCAGTGGCCCGTGGTCGTGGAGTGCGAGGATTGTGAGGTGATTCCAGCCGACCATGTGATTGTGACCGTTTCGCTGGGCGTGCTCAAGAGGCAGTACACCAGTTTCTTTAGGCCAGGCCTGCCCACGGAGAAGGTGGCTGCCATTCACCGCCTGGGCATTGGTACCACCGACAAGATCTTCCTTGAATTCGAGGAGCCCTTTTGGGGCCCTGAGTGCAACAGCCTGCAGTTTGTGTGGGAGGATGAGGCAGAGAGCTGTACCCTCACTTATCCCCCTGAGCTCTGGTACCGCAAGATATGTGGCTTCGATGTCCTGTACCCACCAGAGCGCTATGGCCACGTGCTGAGTGGCTGGATTTGTGGGGAGGAGGCTCTTGTCATGGAGAGGTGTGATGATGAGGCCGTGGCTGAGATCTGCACAGAGATGCTGAGACAGTTCACAGGTAGGCCCTGTGTCCATGCTGCTCCCTGGGGCCTGGCTGCTTCCTCTGCTCCTAGGTCTATAGCAATTCTACCTTTTCTAGATTGTGGCACTGAGGTGGCTGTCCTACTGGGAGAGCCACTGCAGGGAACTACGTTTAGCCTCTGTCACCTCAGCTACTGACACTCCCATTTTTTGAGTTTGAATGACTCAAAATGATGGCTCTTTGCACTAAGGACTTCATGGTAAAAAGGACTCCAGTGTCACCATCTCCATGAGCTGGCCATTTCCTGTTGTATAGCATCTTGTTCAGAGGTAGATTTGTTTTACTCCGATAGTGATTTTTTTCCTTTCTTTCTTTCTTTCTTTCTTTCTTTCTTTCTTTCTTTTTTTTTTTTTTTTTTTTTTTTTTTTTTTTTTTTTTTTTTTTTTTTTTTTTTTTTTTTTTTTTTTTTTTTTTTTTTTTGAGACAGGGTTTTATTGTGTAGCCTAGGCTGGCCTGGAACTCACTGAGTTGCAGCTAACTGGACTTTGAATTCAAGATCCTCCTGTCTCAGTTTCCTGAGTGCTAGGAATACAGGCATATGCTGTCATAATCAGCATCTTTGATTCTTTTACTTGGTTATTTTCTGCCCACTGCTGCAGGAGAACTTCCCAGGAGCCCCTGATATAGGAAAGGGAAACATGATTATCTGAAATTGTTTTAAATACTTCTGGGAATCAATCCTAGGGCCTCATGAGTGCTAACCATGAGATCTACCATGAGACACCTCCCCACCTCTAGTAATACTTTAAATTAAGAAAATCAAGGTCTTCGGATAAGTAATGTTTGTTTTCTGGCGGTCACCAGGAAGTGATGAGTGGGAATACAGCTTGAGCCCAGTCCCCCCTTACTTCTCCCAATCTTTTATGCCTGCTTGAATGTTCTGGAGCCCCGGAGGGAGGTAAATTGCCTGTCTTGGGGTGCCTTCCATAGGTAGCCATTTCTTATGTCTTGGTTCTTCTGACTTCCCAACAGGGAATCCCAATGTACCAAAACCTCGGCGAATCCTGCGCTCAGCCTGGGGCAGCAATCCATACTTCCGAGGTTCCTATTCATACACACAAGTGGGCTCCAGTGGGGCAGATGTGGAGAAGCTGGCCAAGCCTCTACCCTACACAGAGAGCTCCAAGACAGCGGTGAGTAGGCTGTGAATGGTGAGAACAGGCTTCCTTGGAGGGACTATTTTGCATGTGTCTGGTCCAGGGGAAAGGGCTTGGGGTAGTGTTCACTAAGGGCGCCATGGTGAAAAGCGATGGGGTGGCTCTCATAGTGAAAGAGAAAACAAGACAACAGACAGCATCTGGAAGAAAAAAGTAGAATCTCATAGAATAATATTTTCTGGAGCTTCTGAAGCATGGGTCATTGCTGTGCTGGACAATAAGTCTTAAGCCACAGTTAGATTGAATTAATTAAATAGAATTTAAATGAATAAATACAAGTTTTAGTTCCTTGGTTGTACTACTTACATTTCAAGTTCAACAGCCCCGTGTGCCTAATGGACCCCACATTGGGTTATGCGGTACAAAAGGTCTGTTGGACAGCAGTGCAATTATTTTCTCTATGTTTTAGAGAACAAAATTGGGGTTGTAGCTCAGTTGGCAGAGTACTTGGCTGGCATGCCTGAAGCCCTGGGTTTGATCCCCAGCACCTCAGAAACCCTGCCTAGTGGTGCATACCCACAATTCCATAGCACCGGAGAAGTAGAGCTGGGAGGATCAGGAGCTTGAAGTTGTCCTTGGCTACATAGTTTGAGGCAAGCCTGAAATACATAGACCCTGTCCAACTGCACTCTAAGAAGATAATTAATCTGAGGCCAGCAAGGTGGCTTGGTGCGTAATGGAGTGCACTGCCAAGCCCGATGGATGACTCGTTCAGTTCCTAGAGCTCATGTAAGAGAGGAGAGAACTGATTCCTACAGGTTGTCCTGGTTTCCACTCTACCATGATGGCATGCATGGGTGCTCGCGCACTCACACACACACACACACACACACACACACACACACACACACACACACACAATGCTAAAAACTGAGAGAAATATGCTCCCAGTAGTAAATTTTGTCTAGTAAGTGTAAATATACATTAAATGTAAAAATGCGCCACTTATATTTAAAGCAGTTCTTTGGAGTCACTGATGAAGGAGATTCTGTCAACTAAGGTATGTCTGTCTAGCTGTGCTCAGAGAGGGCATCTTCCTACAAAGGAGACCTCTGGTTGTGACAGTAGTAAAGCAAAACAGAAATAATCAACAATGATCTGCAGGATAATGGGAGGACCAGATATCATTAACACCTGGCTTCCATGTTCTGTCCCAAGAGGACTGCAAGAACAATGGGTCTTATGTCTTCAGCTGATAGCATGGACCAGAAAGGGGACTCCCTGGATCTGAGACAGCAGTATACCTGAAGCTTATTGGCTAGAATTTAGTCACATGATTACATATTGCTGACAGGCTGGGCCAGGTCATTTTTGTTTTGAATGACTTTGGAACCAGTTAAGAACTAGGACTTGAGCTGGGAGTGGTGGTGCACACCTTTAATCCCAGCACTCAGGAGGTGGAGGCAGAGGCAGGTAGATATCTGTGTGTTCCAGGCTAGTCTGGTCTACATATTTTGAGACATTGACTCCAAACAAACAAAAAAACCAGGGCTAAACTAAGGAGGAAAGAGAATGGTGGATGAGTGTGGGAGTGGGCAGCTTGTGCTTGGCCACAGCCCATCCCTCTTTCTCTCTTTTTTATTTATTTTCCTTCCTTCTCTTTAACAACCTCCCTGAGCTCCTTATCACTGGGTGCAGCTCTGCTGCGAGCTTGTTAGGGATGTGTGCTCTTAGTCTAGACTTGGTGGATTCATCAATGCGTTCTTAGAGAAGTCCACACTTGAGTTTGGTGTGCAAGAAGCTGAACCGTCCTTGGACTCACCGAGACACCTGCTTCCTTGAGATTGAGCCTTTAAACCAGAGGTCTCACTGTCTTTGGTGTGGTGACTTTTCCCTCTGACTGAACTCGTTCAGTGTTTAGTTATCCAGCATCCTTTGAGAAGCAGTTAAAAGTCTTCCAGGAGGCTTTGTGGGATCTCCCTTACATTGAACCTCTTTTCTGGGCTTTAAGCACCTTCCCCAAACACCTGTCATCACATATGACACTGTTTAGTAACTGGGTTTCGTGTCTGGCTTCCCTGCCAGCATGGAAGCTCCACAAAGCAGCAGCCTGCTCACCTTTTATCATCCAAGTGCCCAGAACAGGCCCTGGACCCTAGTAGGGGCCCCGTAAAGGTTTGTTAAATTACCACCTAACGGTTGTTTACGTTCTTCCAGATCCTAAGTGCTCACACACTTAGTTTCACTTAATCTTTACAGCTGGCCTCAGAAGCAGGTGGTATAATTCTATTTGTCTGATAAGAAAATAAAGGCTTAGGAGGGCTAAATAGATGATCATTAAGAGGTGAATGGAGCCTTTGGGACTGTACAGCCAGGACTTCTCACAGCCTTGGAACAGAAGGAAGTGAGGCATGGGTGCATGGGGACAGAATGGGAAGGTGCCAGGTGGGTGGGTGACTCTTCATTCTGTAGAACAATACCGGTGTCCTGCTCACTTGTGTCTGCCTTGTAGGAAGATGGGTTCCACGGCAGGCAGGGAGACTGCTGCCCCAGCTGCTTCTCCACTCTCACTTCCACTTCCTCCCGCTCAGCCCATGCAGGTGCTGTTCTCCGGTGAGGCCACGCACCGCAAGTACTACTCCACCACCCATGGTGCTCTGTGCTCTGGCCAGCGTGAGGCAGCTCGTCTCATCGAGATGTACCGAGACCTCTTCCAGCAGGGGCCCTGAGGGTGTCCTCACTGCCATATGTGTTCCTTAAAGAACCACTAACTCGTGACTGCTGTCCCTTCCCTTGCCCATGTACTCGTAATTTCCTGATTGTCTGTAGGATGAAATTATATCTTTTGTAGTGGACACTGGGCTGTCTTCAGACCTGGCCCTATAGCTTTTCTTTTTCTCTAGGCTGGGTAATGCCCAGGTGGGATTTGGCTTCCTGCTTTCCCCCTCTCCATGTTATTGCAAGTGCCTTCAATACTTTGCATTTTGGGATAATAAAAGAAGTGACCCTTCCCATGCTCCTAGCTTCTCTGCTCAGTTGATAGCCTCTGTGTGTGCATTTGTCTAATCACATCTCTGACTAGGGTTTGGTGCAAGGTTTGTGGCTGTGCTCCTGAAAGGGAAGGTGTTTAGGTTTGTTGAGGAGACGTTCCTCCTTTACCCCTTCTCTTCCTGCCTGTTCAGTGAGTTCTCCCTGCCCAGGGCCCACTCCCTTAGGATAGGCCTGGTTCTGACCACTTGCCCTTCTTGAAGCGTGGTTGGAAGACAGGTTGTGTTGAATGAAGGTAAATTCTATGGAGGGATACCCCAGTTGTGGCTCCATGCCAGGGTCTGATGAGTTCACTGCTGGCCACAGGGCAGTGAGTCTGATTCAGGCTTTAAACTAACAATATGTGTTGGATGTCTTACGCAACAGAACTTAATGCAATGTGGGCCCTCCTTTGGTCACTGCCGGCTGCCTTCTCTGTAGCCTAGGTTCCTTTGTTGGAAGCCACCTTTACTTTCTATGAACTTGTGTTGGGAGATGCTGGCTAGCTTCCACGGTCCCTAGGTTTCTCCACCAGCTGCGTGGGATAGACAAAAGCAGACACAAGACATAAAGTAGGAGGGAAGTAATTAATTACCAGGTGTTGGAGTTGTAAAGAACTCCATAGGGGTAAGGAAGCTCAAAATGTTTATTTGGTGACTGCATGTTGGGGACCTTTAGAGGCTGTGTGTGTGTGTGTGTGTGTGTG